ACTTTTCCACTTTCGACTTTTCCACTTTCGACTTTTCCACTTTACACGTTTCCACTTTTTCATTTTGTACTTTTCCCACTTTGCACTTTTTATATCTAAAGGTCTTATTACCAGTTCGCAGCCATTAGCTCGGTATTATTCGCGACGAAGGATTGTTCGTCACGAATAATACCGATTACCAGGTCTCACCACGTGGAGGTTGCTGCGACTGGAGACCCGGAGATAGAAGGAATCAAAGTTTCTTCGATCACTATGCATCTACGTATGCATATACTCTAGATAGAGTCAACGAGCTTAATGTTAAGTACGGAACTAAGTCTGACTCTGCCAAATAATAATTATTTGAACTAAATGGAAGGTAAATGGAAATCGCGACACGACGCGACCACGTAACTGGACTTACAGAGTCAGTCCCGTTTCCTCTGGTGGGTCTGATTCGAGAGAAAGACGATCAACGTCGCCGCCAGTACTCTACTCCCTGCATACCTGCTGCCGAGGGCCCAGATCCGACCTTACAGTGTACGACGTAGGTAGCACCGCGTCAGGTTGCCCTGCCCTGGCGACACCAGCTATGTCTGACGGTCGTAGAGTCCCGAAACGGAGTTGTACTCTTGCACAACGTCAGGAGTCCAGGACACGACTTGCATCCGCCTGACGGCTTATTTGAGCTGCGCTGCGTCGGGAGCCTGGACTTCGCCTGACGCGTACAGAGAGTAGAAGATTCCTTGGAGGCGTCGATTGACCCTCTCTCAAATCAGATCCACCAGAGGACGGCAATCGACTTCGACCAGTCACATGGTTGATCGCTACACTTATCACATCAAGTAATAGTGACCGAAATGGAGAACGGAGTTGCGAGTCCAATATGGACCTACGAATAAACAAAAAAATTGAACAAATGATTAATAATTATTTGACAGAGGACAAACACTCGTACATCCATGCCTTAAAACTAACTAAGATACATGGCTTAAAACTAAGCAAACTAAACTAAGGTACCCACAAGCAATACCAAACTACGCTAACTAAGAGAAACTACACTACGGAAAAATAGGAGGGACGCGAGACGCGAACGCGCGATCGCGAGATCCATATCGAACGAAAGATCAACGATGAATGAGCTCTCGCCCTTCTATTCGCATACCTGCTTTTGGGCGCGGTCGTGCGTCGTAGATTGTTTGTGACTCTCGACGTAGAGAAGGGGAAGGGCGAACAACAACCGCGTGACATGTCGTGACAGGTCGATTTCGAAGACTCGTTGAATTTATCGAGACAATAATTCGTGGAACATTAATATTACAACAAAATCATATTCCCAGCATTGTTTAAACAATATGTCTTGTTAATAATTAATTCAACTGCTGTTAGAAATAAATGTTTAGTTATTGAGATCAATAGTTATTAAAATATTGACAAATATCTCACGATTAATGTCTCGAATGAATACTTATTCTGAACCGTAATTGTTATTAATGTTTAATCGAGCACTGAGTGATGCTCTATATATCACAAAGGTTTAATTACGTCGGAGATATTAAGTTTTAATTGTTCCAATCAACAGATACTAAAATATAGAAAAATATCTCACGAGATCGAGATTTATCTCGTCTCGTGCGCATCACTAGGTCCAAGTATCATTCATAAACATCACAGGTATTCACTCTTAAATTTCGAGCTTTTACATACAGTCTTTAAGTATTCTATATACTAAATATTTAGTGCATGGAGTCAATAGAATATTACATACATGTAGATCCATTACAAAAACTTGAGTCAAATTTTGAGGAAGGAACCATTAGAATTTCTAAAGTTACGAAAGCTCATTGCAAAGGACTCTTTAAGAAACTTTCAAGGGGGCACGATATCGCAAACTTTTATTAAAAATCTAGTGAATTGAAATGAATTCGTGACAGTATTCGATCGAATAGAAATAATATTTGTATTATAATATATAAGCTATTACACAAAAGATCTAGTGAATTGCAGTAAATTCGTCACGGTATTCGATCGAATAACAATGATATTTTTATTATAATACATAAGCTGAATACAGAATACATATTTTAGATCTGTAGTAATGTTCATAAAGAATGAAAGGTAATTTGCAGCCCTCGAACTACGAGGATATTAGATTGGTTACATTCAGAATGTCTACAAAAATGTTGGACAGACTCGAGTTGAAGCTCAAGAGAAAAGTTACCAATCTCACAGACAAGAAAACAAGCAAACGAAGGTCCTGGTATCTGTTTTATTAAAATTGCACCCGCATCGAAATGATCGAAAATCACGTTGTTCCCATCGCTGCGGCGTGAGTAAATAACACATAGAAAGGGGCCCCGTAGCAGTGATTCACCTAGGTACAATAAAAATATGTCTCTCTCTCAAGCACCGGCCAGAATCAACCCCTGTCGACTCCAGAGAGTCGAAGTGGCGGCTTAAACCACCCCCGTACACGCCCGACGCCCAAAGGGTAGGTTGGACTCGGGACCGACCAACCCGTGGCCGCCATTATTGACCATCGGTCTTGATTAGCGCGATACTATTCTACCTCCCTTCTTTCCCAACCATCGACATCCTCGAAACGTCGCCGAGCTTTCCTTTCACGTTGCGTCTTTCTACCCCCGTCATTTGTTTCTTTCACTTTCTACGCGAACTTCTTTGGAGATTTTCCGCCTGGCAGAGCGGAACGACTGCGGATTCGCGAAAGAAATGAAAAAGGGGAAACGTCGGGACGCTAATTTTTCCAATATTTTCTGTTATTAGCCCTCTCTCTGGCATCAATGTTTTCGGAAGGTTGAAGGAAAGTTCGTATTTATAAAAGAGAAAAATGATTTACCTATAAAGGGATAGGTGCATGTCTGACATAAATTTATAGATGATTCGTGTATTATAAATTATCCTCACAGGTGATTATCTTTCACATTTGGAGCTTTTACATCGAGTCTTTATATAATTTGTATATTAAATATTCAAACAGCCTATAGAGTATAGCTGCACCGCATGGAATCACACCACAAACTTGTTCATCGGATCTAATTTCAACCTAACCAAAATAAATTAAAATCTAACAAAACATAGTATCCTACGACGTCGTTGGCTCATCGTATCATCAAAAAAGTTCCCGAATGCTTCCTAGCAACTCCAGAGACTACTTTTATCTTACAACCCTTAAGGAAACCTAACCGAGGCCCAATTTCAAATTCCGATTCCATTTCCAAACCGATGTCAATTGCAAACGTCGCGAAACATCTCCACAGGTGATCCAAGCGAGTCAAACAAAGGATCCGGCGATCACCAGCGTCGTCTTTTCGATTTCAAACAAACGTTTTTCTCTACGAAACCGTCAACTTTCATACAGCCTACCGATCAGACGATCCTGACGCGACATTTTCCAGCATTTTTCACGCGCAACGCTTCCATTCGATTCGCTCTCATGTACCGCAAATCATTCCAAAATCTTCTAACGCGACGAGTCGGCGCGCGGTTTCTCGCACGAGGGAGACAGGTTTCCGGCGCAGGCGTGCCAACGTCGATACCCCACCAGAACCTACCCCCGTTTTCGCGTGGGAGCTGGTCCGAGGGACGGTGGAGGGCGTCGATGGTAGGGTGGAAGCCTCTCCTCCGGCAGGGCGATGCACACGGTTTCGCAGAACGTTCGGAGCCACCTCCACCTTTCTATGCGTCCCTCCAAGTCCCTCCAGGTCCCTCCGGGTCTCTGATCCTCGACGCTGAAGCCGGGAACCCCGCGAACCCGGCTCCATAGTGCCGCGGTACCCGCTAATCAAATCGCGCATTCCGAGATCCTCGCGGCAGTGTCACCGAAACGAACGGCGAACTCTCTGCGAGACTTGGTTCGTTCGATCATCGGCGATCGGTCGCGATAGTTTGAAATGTTCCGCGGGAAACGAGCGCAGCGTATCGGTGATCGGATCGGTGGACGGTCGACGACGGTGGACGCCGGACGAACGGAATAATAAATTCGCCAGGATAAACGAACGATACGATAATCTCCGGTCTCGCGCAACCTTTTACGGACTCTGGCCACGGGAGCGTAAAAGAACACGGAGGATTAATTCAGCCGCGGTCCCCCATCGACGCGGACGACCGGTCACCGCGCGGAATTCCAAAGATTTCCAAGAAAAGCCACGGCTGGAAGAAAGTAGCACGGCACGCGGGGTACGATCATCGTCGGCTGAATGGACGCTGGCCGATGACAGACATCCAGACGGGTTCGCTCCACCGATGCCAACGAGAAAAAACAAAAGGAGAGCGTGGCAGGACGAAAATCGCGATTCGACAGCCGTGGAATTCGTCGTTTCTTACCAGTCGGCGCGGTCGAGCGCATTCGGCACGAAAAGAAGGCTCGGCGACAGCCAGCGCTCGGCTGGACCGGCCGAAAGTATCGTCGCTACCGTGATTCATTGGGTTTTTCTCTCTATTGGCATTCGGGATTTACATCGGACCCGGGACCCGCGATTTCCATCGACACGCGTGCAAAAACCCCGCCGGCCGCCCCGTTGCTGATCAAAGGAGGACGAACGAGATAGACGCGTTCTGCGAGCAAGATTAGAGGATAGAACCAACAAAGCCTCCACTCCTATCGGCGATCTTCGAATGTATCCGTCGCGACGCGACCAGAAACGCTCCACTTCGCTTCGATACAAAGCTCGAAACTCGCGTCGACGCTGGAACGCGAGGTACGCGCTCAAGAACGAGGGCGGTACGGTGACTCTTGGATTTTAATTCGGATCTCAATCCTCTCGCGATATCACAGTGCGTTTATAGTTCATTCTACAGTTACGTCGGTGAAAGGACCGCGGTGTAATCAATTTAAACTCGCAGAGACGCAGAATCCGTCTAGGATTGATCGCGATGCGACCACGGAAGTTTTTCGATGCACTTTGTAATGACCAATTACGAAACGAGCGTGAATCATGAGAGACCTCCTAAATAGAGGGTGCCAGGGCAACGGGAGATAATCCCGCGCGAGGTGGAGGACGCCGGTTGGCGGCGATATCGAGCGTAACGGTCGATAAAGCGAGTAGGGACGTCGTCGAGTCACGCACGATTTTACAAGGAAAAATCGACGCGATCGGAGCAATATAACCAAGGTTATGGTCGAGATAAACCGGGAGCCCCGATAAGACGTGGACCGTCGCTGCGGACGGACGAGTGCGCGGCTGGCGTCAGGCCCGCTCGGATCTTCCACGAAGGTGTCGAGCTGTCGATTACGCATCTCCACTTGTTGGGACATCGTTCTACGGTTGGAATTTCAGTGGAGGCCATCGCTCGGTGATAGTCTCGTGAACGTCGAGAAAAGTTGACTCGAAAGAGTCGAATCAGTTGATTCGAAAGAGTTGGAAGAGTTGACTCGGGGGATGTTAACTCTCTGTTGCTTAAAAACAATGTAAGCTCGATCCAAACGAAGACAACTAGCCTTCTAGAACATCGAATACACCTGGGTTCGAGGTTAGCTTATGGTCAGTTTGACGTGCTGTGAAATAAACTTTGTGCAATAGATGGTTGATCCTCAATCGCCAAGTGTTTGATGGTTCGTGAACTTCGAGGCTACCTTTCCATCGTAAGGACCGAGTAAGACTGAGGGCGATAAAGTGCTAACTCTTCGTTTCCAAGTGACTTTGTTCGAGGCCTCGATGCTCCATCTTTACAACTCCAAGGACCAAATAGAAGTTGCGCTTTCATTTTCACCTCGGCACACCGGGTAAAACTCACCAAGTGGAGTTCGAGGCCTCGATGATATCCACCTTCGTGACAACTCCAAGGACCGAATAATCTTCGCGTGTCTACGAAACTAAATAAATATCCACGCGAGTTGCCCCTTGAAACTTGATAAAGTTCACGTACAGGGTTCATCCTAACTCTGTTCAATTGTCGATGCTCCAGCACCTTTCGGACGACTCGAAGGACCAAATAAAATCGCAACAGTGACTCCGTAACTTGATAAAGTTCACGTAGAGGGTTAATCGTAACTCTGTTCAAGGCCTCGATGGCCCAGCACCTTTCCGACGACTCGAAGGACCAAATAAAATCACAACAGTGACACCCGTTCGAGGACTCCATCCTTCGAAAAGCCTTCCACTTTGCCCTGGTGCGATAGACGATACCCCCGACCGGCTATGAATCGCATGCGACTCGAGTCGCGTCGTTTCGGGAGCCGTTCGAGTTCATTGGTCATCGACGACGGCGCGTAAACACGCGAAACACGCGCGCAGCACGCGCGCAGCCCGCGTCTCCGCTTTATTGACGGTAAATCGCGCCGGGTTTTCTTCTCGCGGTACTATTTACAAACAAACGTTAGATCCAGGAACGGCGCTGGTAAGCATTCGCAAGCGTTCGTTCGCCACGCTCAGTGATCCGCGGAACAGAGACGTCGGCGGCCGGTCCTGGCCGCGATACGCGATCGTTGAACCGACAAGCGCGCTCGTACAAAGTCATCGGAAGGTGACAAGAGTGGCCCGATCGCCATCGGCATCTACTTCGCGTCAGCGCCGAAGAGATTACGACGGGAACTTTGGACGATCGATCGATAAAGAGGCGCGAACCGATCGTTTCTTTTTTTATTTCGACGATATTGAAACTGGCCGACGTCGGATCTCTGCCTCCGGCTACCATTCGCGACGAGCGGGGTTCCGCGGACCGATCTCGGCTCGACGCGAACCGCGAGTGGAAAGGGGTACGATATCGAGGAGTCGCGTCGAAGGAGGAGGATCAACCGGGATTTTTCTGTGCAACTGTTCGCGAGGGAACTGGGAGAGTGACTCGAAAGTGGGGAGGTCCGAGTGACGGCTACAGTGTTCTCTAGTGGATTCTCGTGTAACAGGAACTCGATTGCCCCGACGATGATCGTCAATTAATCGATCTTAGACGTTACGAGAATCAAGGATCTTTCGAACTTTCTTCTGTTACGAAGTAACCTTCGAACAGAGCCCTCCAACAACCCCTAAGTCGTCGGGAGCTTTCTCCGCGAAAGGCACCCTTTGAATCGAGTTCGCGGACATTCCGGGAAGAGAGACGCGCGTGGGCGGTCGTTCCCGCGATTAGTGTTTCCTGGTGCTAGACTGGAGCTGTATTTGCCGTACGCACCACTGCCGGGGGGTGGCGGAATCCTCCCGGCGGTGAGCAGCGGGCCAGGTTCGGGAGGGTGTCGTCCCGTGCTGTTGGGTGGCGTCGATCTGTCGATGTCGGCGGCGGTGCAGCCGGTCGCGACGCTGCCGACGCTGCCGAGCGGCGGTCCCGCGTCGCACAATCCTCTCCACCATACACCCGTGGGACTTCCTCTGCCTCCTCTGGGGTCTGCGCCCGTGATGATGCCGCGACCACCGACCACCGCAATGCCGCCATTGGGACCGTCTCTGCCACCCGCGCACCAGGACGCCGACTTGGCGGAGGCTGCGCCCAACCAGGACGTCCTGCTTGCTCTCCTCGCCAGGAACAAGAACCTGGAAGGTAAGGATTTCTCGAGAGTTTTTTTTTTTCCTATACCGTCGCGACTCCAGGATGCGATTTTGTCACGCTTCCGAGGGTTGGTTTCTTCAGGAGTCGGGTGGAATGCGTGGAGATATCTTTGGGGGCGTTTAGGGGATTCTTAGGGCGAATTAATACGTTGAAGTTTCGGGCGGTGGAGTATACAAGACGAGAAGGAAGAACGTGGGATGTTGTTTATAAGAGTAAAATTATTCTTTGGCTTTGATATGAGTCGTTCATTGCGCAAATCGATTAGCTCCATAAAAGTAATATTGAGAAACGCGACGAAATAATTGTACATTGCTTTTGAAAATTTCCTTTATAATATAGATTCAAATAAATATTGTATCGGCTTATCTGGAAGGTAATATATTGTATTAGATGAAGTATATTGGAATGGTTGAAAACAAATAAAATGTGTGCATCCCTTAAAAGGTGGAAAGATTATGGAACAAAATGGTACTTATATAATTCAATAAATATATATATCGAAATTCACACGTGCCTTTGAATTTTTCTTAATAATTGGCTCGAACTTTCTGGACAAACTAATAGAATGCATAAATACAGGATAAATATAGTAGCTTCCATCTAACTGTATATACAATTAATAAGAAAGAATGGCCCAAAAATAATCGTCGGTAATTTTACTATTTTTAAGTGCCCGGTAGAGTTAATCGATTTGTGGGGTGAACGACTCATGCATACATGCGAACTATGAATGAATGAATCTTTTGGCAGTTCTCCATGGTGGTAGTTTTTCTATTTTAGTTTTGAGTATCTCGCATCGGAGATACGGTTATAAATTGTGAACAATAGAAGAGGTCCAACAGAAAGATACATATATTACAAGTACAGGATCCCTAGACGAAAACATTATTTCGTTTGAATCTTTTTGCGGAGTTTCGAACTTATCATCGAACGTTGTCGCGTGTATCTTTCTAAAACACGGACGCGACCACGACGACTGACGAGTAAATAAATAATATTCTCATCTAACAATCATGTAAACTTCTTTTCCGTTCGTCCTCGTTAATAATATATAGCCCATTGGATACCATAAAAGTTTACGTCAGAGTTCAATTACCGAGCAAGGTATATCGCCAGCAGCAGGTGTGTTTAATGTTTTACGTATAGAGAAATGCAACGAGCCTGCACCAATCGTCGTCGGAACACGTGCAGCCCGCAACGTGTACCAACGACAATATTATTACACACGAATCCGAATCCGTTGGACTTTACATGTTCGTATCGGCCCGAATACGTTTCGAGCCAAGAGATAAGATACCGATTCCACGCGAGTTTAACGTGTCAAAAGATGCAATAAGCTTGCATCAATTTTTGTCAGAACGCGGATACGTAAGGTTCGTCTTTGTTTTAACCAGATCTCACTCGTCGCTGTGTTAGAATTTGAAGAACGTCTACGTAGACTTTACCGAAGTTATCTAACTATTATCAATCATCGCAATAGCGTCCATATTTGTTTGGGATTACTGGTGCGAATCAAGTAGAAGACGAGTTACATACTTTGTTAATAACGCGCTGAAAGCGGTGATTGATTATTGGCGGGATTGAATTATAGGAATTTATATGAATTAATATCGGTGATTTGAGCAGACTCCCGTAATAAATTCAGTGAAATGTAAAATGAACGTTTGCTCAGTGAGAAAAGCACACTCGGATATTACGTTGAAACGAAAGGAATTTTCCTGAAAATTCAACAATTTTTACCGAACGAAAATTCATTCGGCGTGGTAGCGAGAAATGAATAAACTTTCGAGAATTCGGTGTAAACCTCGCGAATTTTACATAAACGAGACGCTTGTTGAAAGGAACACGTTACGGTTATCTCCGTACGTCCACAGAAGCATCCCGAGATAACAGGGAAGATCTAGTCTCAATGATTCTATCGCAATCGCGAGTTCTTGTAATATCGGATCAGGTTGAAATTTTTGTGCCGCATTACGCGAACACCGACGAGTTCTCTCGATAAGAACTCTCGATCCGAATGCTCGATAAGATTAACGTCCACCTCGAGAACATACGATTGTCACATTTGGAACACCATTCGCTCGTTTTCGTGCGACTTTATAAATGTTCGCGTTCGTTAAATATACAATGACAACGCTAATTGTCGCTACCCTTCGCCTGTTGTATTTTTTTCTGACAGTAAAATGGACGTCGACGAAAATACCACGAGTGAATTATTATTCCAGAGAATTAGTATTCCGCGTCTCGTTCGTTCCTTTTTAGACCTAAAAACTCGCGACGGAAGATAGATGACCCTGGATTGTTAATGCGTCGAAATTGCCGTTGCCTTTCACGTGTAAAACAAATTACTCTACATGCATAATTCACTGACCTTGTCCAGTACCTGACGCATACCTGTCTTTCTTTTCTCCAATCGAATGCTGAATATGGAATCACCGTGGCAGCATGCTCATTACACCGTTCAACCTTCGACTAAAACGTTTAAGCATTCCTATACATCGTCTCGTTATCGTATCCAAATTATTAAATTCGTTCGCGATTCTAGTTTCGCAACTTCTGTGAATGTTTCCTGATCTTCTTTGGAAATAATTCAACTCCTCGAACTCAGGTGGGTTACAAACCATCCCACCTTTTGCTTAGCCTTTACTATTTTCTTTAAAAATATCTTTACGAAATTATTTATAATAAGTGTCGTTGCTGTTCTTCCGATCAGCTGGAATTTTCTTTTTCTTTCGCAATCGCGTGCCTCGAAGAGTCAAAGGATGCAGAATGTAGGTTTCCTTCTAATATTTCATACCCAGAATGCTTTCCATTTCCTTCGCGGCGTCTCCTGCGCGCAGAGAACACGATCAAGTTTTCGCGTGAATTATTTACGCGGTGAATTTCGGTGAGTGGAGCAAGGTCGAAGATTTCTTCGATTCCGAGCATCCCTTATTCGGGGATCCCATCGCGCGAGTTTCCGACTTTCGACCTATGAATATTTATTTCGCTTAATTCGAGCGCGGCCGAGTCGTACGTTCGAAAAATTCGATTTGATTTCGATAAGATTCGATAAGGAAGTTTTGAGATTGCATTTTTGACATCCCATCAAATACGACGAGGCTTTTAACAAAATTTTGATACATTGAATAACATTTTCCTTACTTCGAGCACTCGTACGCCAACATGGAGGATGTTCGTGGAAATAGATACGCTTCCAACGTAATTTAGTTATTGATAGAAACTGATTACATCTGCCGAACGCGAGGACGAATAGTTGATTAAGAGCCGCAGATAATTATTAAATCGTTTCGCCAATAAACTATGTATAAATCGAAATTTACTCTCTATTAACAGCATTCAATCTAAATCTAATCGCGGGGCTCTCGTCGTCCCACCATCGTAAATTTGATACTTGTTAATCATAGAACGCTTAATTTTAAACGTTGCCATCGTAAGTTTAATTTGGCGTTACGAATTGAAGTGGGTTTCAATGTTCGACTAAATTCGTCAAACTTTATTGTTTCACTGAAGTACATTGCCCTTCCACGTTGAAATTTGATCGTGCCTCGCTGTATAGCATCAAAAGAAAATAGAACATTTTTACGAATGGATTATCAATAGAAACAAATAATTAAACACATGTATGAATCAACAGGTGACGATAATGGATGCAAACGAGATAAAGGTGTTGTCACAGTGCAAATGGTGCCTAGAAAAAAACATAAAATTTCTACGAATGAATCATCAAAATAATCAAATAATTAAGCACGAGTATAAATTGACAGGCGACGATGATGGACAAAATGTCTATGAATCGATTACCAAAATAAACGAATAATTAAATATAAATCAGCAGAAAGGTGTTCGAAAGTGCTCCCCTATGGGGTGTATTCGAGTGTTTGGCGAATGGTCGTGTCTCAGGAGTCGATCCAAACAGCTCTACTGCTTTAAACGTTCCTCGATAATAAAGGATAGGCGATGGTACAGTTCGCGGGCCCGCGTAAAGGTTTTGTTAAAAGGGCGCGGTGAGGGTGGTGGATATTTTAATAAGGTAAGTGCTGCAAGGCCGGTTGCTATGCCATTGGGGCGGTTTAATCATGTAATGTGTTCGGAGGCTCGGCCACCCCACAATCAATACGGTATTGCTTCGGGCACGATAGCGAATGTACTTAAATCTAAACCTAAATCTAAACTCAGGCCCAAACACCGGAACGTAAACTGCACGCTAGTTAGCCTTTTACATCCATTAACACGCGTTGGATTCGTTTTCACAGTGGCACGCGTGTGACGTGACCGTGATCCACGTAATAACATCGATATCCTTGGCGCATACATATTTCTTTTATAAACAGCTACTTCACACGATTTTTCGTTTAATACTAATTCGTTTAGATACTATCACGACAGGTCTGGATGTTTAATTAATATTAAAATAGTAATCACCCCGCAATGCCACTGGAGATTCGTGACTCGTGGATCAGCGTTCGATAATTTCGCCAGGTTCTATATTAAGCAGTCCAAAGCTGAATCGAAGTGTTTATATCATCTCCGAATCCAAGGATACGTTTATAGACGACCAGAGGATCGGAATATCCTACACGTCGATGGTAAACTATATCGAAGTATTCATAGCAACGAAACCAAATCTGAATCCATGTGTAATTTATCCGCGGGTTATTATAGTCCGCGTCAGCGATTAATTGCAGTACGACGGTTGAACGTCAAAATAATTAAGTCTGGCTTCGGTGACTCAATTAGAGGTTCGTTTTCGTCGTGTGCCAATGGTGGGCGACGTCGATAAACACACCGTTGGAGCCGCGGAAGCGGAAGTAGCACACGAGTAGACGATCAAACGGCGCGGAGCCATAAAACGCGCGAAAAGAGATTTCGAATGGAGAGTTGAGACGAGGACCGCGGTCTGATAAGGTGTAGAAAGCTCCAATGAGGATGTCAAGCATCCCTCGGGTAAACGGTTACCATAGGAAACGGCGGCTCATGGCGAATGGGAG